AAAATTCATCATGCATAGAAACCTTGCACACTTGAGTCCGATTCAAAGTTTACTTCAGGATGTCAGTTTGATGCTTTGCTAGCGATATTAGAGCCACATATTAAAAAGTTTACAAAATAAATGTGAATTCAGTGTGCAAGGATCTTTACAGTGCTTTGTGCTGTGAGATTAAGTGGATGAACTTGACAATCGCCATTCTGAATTTTGGCGTTCACTTGTACGGTGGCTCTGAATTGTCAAAACACCCCTCTCCAAATGCTTGCTACAGATGCGAAAAATGCAGAAAATCGAACCCCGATCGAAATTTTTTTATGGCGGATGAAAGTTTTGGAGGCAGTGTGTAAACATTATTGACACAACGTGAGGTCGTATTTATTTTTTTATTTTTCAACTTTCTAAAATTTTGGACTTCGTGTGCAATGACCTTAAGTGCACAAACTGTTAAATAAAGTTCAGCCCACAATATACCACAATACCACATTCTAATTTGTGGATATTCTGATTTAATTAGAAATATCTTGTTCAGACTTGAAACTTTAGATTGTGATGGCTGATAGGTCCTTATGCATTCTGCTAGCAATTACACCATTTACTACATGGCATAAGCTGACTGACCTTTGCTGATTCTACAGCCAAGAAGCATGCTTGCTTTTTAGTCATGTTCAGTGCTCACTGTAAGCTGGTCCTGCAGCAGGTTTCTCTGAAACCCTCTACCTCCCCCAGCTCCACCTGTCTAGATCTGATACAGGATTTATGCATGGCTATTCATACAGCATTTCTTACATTCTCTCAGCAGCTTGTCTGTAAATTAGGGATGCACGATATATCGGCCACCATATCGGTATCTAAATGAATTAACTGTAGCAAGTAGAGATGGGTACCGAGAACCAGTATTTTTTTGGACTGGTACGTAACTGGGTCAATACCGGACAACCGATAAGCTTTAGGACAAATGATACGGTTATCGATACTTGCATTGTTTTATCTCCATATACTTCAATGTTTATGGTGAATTAGAAGTTGCTGCTTGTCATTTTCCTTCACTGAATGATGTGGCCGATGTTTGCTCGACATGCGTGTGATATCCATGCACATGTGGTGTGTGTTTGCATGTAATCTGTCATGGTGGCAAGAGTGAAACATTCGAAAGTGTGGGCTTACGTTACAAATCTAAGCGACACCAGTGTCAGATGCAATATATGCAGTAGTGTAATAGTGAACAAAGGAGGCAACACTAGTAATATAATTAAACATTTACTAACAAAACACAATATCTACCTCAAGCAATGCGCTGTATATACTATGTCTCCCGGCTCCAGCTCCTACTGCAACTCGCGAGACACATTCACATCAAATGTTAATTCCGCAGTAGAGTTAAACTCACGAGACACTGCACTTATTCGCAATCACAAAAGTACATTATTTGCATGTGCTTTAAAGCCTTGCCGGTTAAACATTTCATTCGCGTGCTGTTCTGACATGTGCTTATTCGGAGCACGTACACCTGAAGCATGCATTGACTAAAAGGCTGGTCAAACAGCACCTGGTTACTTGGTTAACTTAGTTATCGTCTGATTGTTTTAGTACTGTCAAAAACACACGGTTTACATATAAACACAGTTATGTCTAAAGTGAAAGTAAACAGTTGAGCGAAAAAAGGGGTGCGTGCAGCTATTAAATCAACAGTACTAAACATGCTGCCGATTATCATTAAAGGGATAGTTCACCCAAAAATTTAAATTCTGTCATCATTTACTCACTGTCATGTTGTACCAAACCTGTATTAATTTCTTTCTTGTGCGGAACACAAAAGAAGATATTTTGAAGAATGTGGGTAACCAAACAGTTACTTTGATAGTAGGAAAAAAAATATGGAAGACACTGAAGCTGTTTGGTTACCCACTTTCTTCAAAATGACTTTTATGTTCAACAGAAGAAATAAACTTATTCAGGTTTAAAACAACTTGAGAGTGAGTAAATGATGACACAATTTTCATTTTTGGATGAACTATTCCTTTAATGTTAATAAAATAAAATAAATCACAAAGAAAAAATAATTCACTGCTCTTGACTGAAGAACTTTTCACATCATATCTTTTTGCACCAAATAGTATCGATAACAGTATCGATAAGTACCGGTATCGATAAGCAGTATCGGTATCGTATCAGTATTAGGGTTGGGCCAATTGACGATAGGGGATAAAAAAATATTTCAATACTTTCTCTTGCAATTATATTGTAACAAATGTTTGTAGTCACAGGAAGAAGGAGGCGGGAACCGGCGAACATTTAAATATTTTAATCAAACAAACACAAAATGAAAGTAAAGCGGCAGCCCCTCATGGACGACTGCCGCACACAAAATAAAGTCCAGGCCTGGTCCTCTCTCGTCCAACACTGTCGTCACTCCTTTTATCCTTCCGGAGCTCCTCCGTGGGACTCGAGACCGGTGAGTGGTGCAGGTGCCACCTGCAGGCATTAGCATTTACTCCACCGGCCTCGCTCCGTTCCCACGGCTCTCGGCCCCGCCCCTCTCGTCACATATATCTTTGGGTAATTATACTGTATTTAAATTGCGGCCATCAGGGAGCCGCTACTAATATGCAGGGCATTGAAACCACTTTCGAATGCGTGCTCTCATTTTACTTTCACTTTCAAGATTCGAGATCACACGGACTCTATACTACGGAGCGGCAGTACCTACCACACATTTTACAAGATTAGATATGTCAGTGGTGCTCAGTATCTGCAAATCATTCGCCATTGTCGTATCAGTCATCTCTCCTTACTCTGTGTATGTGGTAAGTGAACTTTCATGTACTGTAATGTAACAGTTTACCGCTAGCAAGCGGCTAACCGCCCCTTTAGTGGCTCCATATTTGTTTTCCGTGCCTTTCTGCATCGTCCATCACAATGTTTCACTGTAGACATCGTCCGACATAATCAGTATCGATAAAATGTAAATGATACCCATCCCTAGTAGCAAGTACATACTTGCTCTGCAGCAGCAGCGGTGTGCTTAGCAGATCTAGTCCTAAACTAGTCTAGTACTTGTACTAGTAGTCTAGTAATAATCTTACTAAACTAAGTTCTCTATGCTAATAGAGCTTTTTCCATCAACAGTCGTGGGCGGGGAATGTACAAAGTGATGTCACTTTGAATAGATTCTGCAAACAAAGCCTTGTTCTGCGACACTGCTTATGATTTATTGGGAATGAAATAGGAGTGGGAGGAAAAGTACAGCATACGTTGTTTACGTCCAGCTGATATTCTCCAAAATGGTACCAGGGTGATGCGGAGGAGACGAATTGTTGAATAAAGTCGTTTTTGTTTTTTTTCGCACAAAAAGTAGTCTCGTAGCTTCGTATAATTGCGGATGAACCACTGATGTCACATGGATTATTTTACAGATCTCCTTGCTACGTTTCTGGACGTTGCTGTCTATGCAGGGTCAGTTCTGTCAGGGTTTATTGATCTCTGTTTGGTGGTATTAGTTTTTTAAAGATGATCTCTATTGTATTTCTGTATTGCACAGCAAATAAAAACCAGCGTTATTCCTCGAGCAGAGTATCTGAGAAGTTTCCACATGAGTTGCCATATGGGACACCATAAACAAGCCTTAGAGGACAGAGATGAATATATATTAAATAGGTCAAAATTCCTCTGCTTTATTATAGCATAGCATAGCAATAGCCAAGGCATATGAATAGTGTTTTAAAATATATTTAAAATATTTATTTTAAAATATATACAATTTTAAAATAGACTTAATAGATTTTTTTGGGATAATGCAATGATGTGACATGGGATGCAATTAAATTGAGATTGATGTGTCATCAAATAAATGTTGACAAGCAAAGTATCCGTTGGTCATTAGACTTGATAACTGAAATAGCACAATTTCATTAAATCATCCTGCTGAAGATAGTATTTTTCTGGTCTTCTCTGCAACTTTCTGTTTCTGTTTACAAGTATAACACAAAAGTAGTGTGTTTTTGACTCACAGAGAACATGAAAGAGATTGAAAATGTATGGATGAGCCCTACGAATGATCAGTGTCCCAATTAAAAAATATCCCAAAATGGCAAAATACAAAGAAGTAAAGGTGGCTGAAGCATGGCTGAAGTTGATGTTCATATACTGAACAAAGTTGAGGTGACAGACCTCTGCAAGAAAGACTTTGCAATAGAGAATGCTTAGATATCATCCAACTTTCTCTGTTTTCTTGTTTAATTTTATTTACCACTTATTTGTGGCACTATGGGTTGGAGGTCTGGGGCATGTTATAGGGCCGTGTATATGGGAATTATCTATTTAGATTATTTTGTATGTTGTGTTTAACTTGAGAAAAAAAAAACACAATATACATAATGTTCAAAAAAAGGACTTTTCGATAACTGCAAGAAAGGTCAGAGGCTAAATTCTCAGAGGTTCTCCATAGCACCAGTGCAAACAAGAGGGGCTGGAACTGGAAATAAGAGAGTTGGAGGTTCAAGAAGTGCAATGCATGTTAAAAAGCTGGCCCCATTGCAAGGCATTGTCCAGGCAATGTGAGACCTCGTCAAGACTTGTGTGTCAAGCAAGTAGAAAGATGTAAGACAGTGTTCACGCAAAAGAAAAATGGGTTATCGAAGATTTAAATAGGCAGTTTAGCAACATAATTGGCACTGTTCTACACCTTCCCAGATACATCAGTGCATGAACAATATGGCTGACGCTGTAGTCAGAATCTTTAATCGTGATAGAGTCATCTGGTATTTAGATACCTGAGGAATCTCACAATTCTTGATTCCAATTTTAGTATCACGTGAAACATGAATAAAAGGCTAACTAATGTAGGTAAAATATTCTCAAGGAATTGTTGAAGACAATTAAACGATCAGCAATCAAATAAGCACAAAGGAACACATGACGAGCAATAGGACTGATACAATAAATACAACAAAACAAAGAGACAGCTAAATGAGCATCAGTATGATTTGTTTGTTTGCTTTTTGCAGGATGCCTTACAGAGGATAATTGCCACATTAGCAAACAAAAATGAGGAACTGCAGAATTTCATTGAAACGCTGAATCACACTTTGGATCGAGTTCAGGTGAGTACACTAAAAGCACTCTAAAATGAAGTTACGATATACAAACTCAGCAACACTGTATTCTAGGGCTGGGTAAAAAATATCGATATCTCGATTATAATCGATTCTCATTTTTACGAAACGATATCGATTCTTAAATCCCAAGAATCGATTAGTCTAGCCTGTTTTCAGTTAATGGATGGGACATTGAAGGGCATCTCCCATCCAATAAATCGCAATAAGCATTATGCTTTGGTACTTTTAATATGAAACAAAGTCTCAGATTTCAAATTATGTTCATTGTATTGCAGTATTCAAACAATAAATGACGTTTTAGCGCTGTTTAATGTGGAGTGATCGCTGTAGCGCGGCGCGCCTTGGTTCAATAAAAGCGGCAGTGCGAGGCGCTCGTGAACTGATCATCTTCTCCACATTTTTTAAGACAGCCACCATTTAAATGTTTATATTTAAAAAAACGTATTGAAATAGAAATATTATGTAGTTGTAACTTTTATTCTAAAAATTTTGGGGGGGCTTGTTCACTTACGTCGGTGCACGTGCTGGGGCTGGTGATGTTTGGATGCCGATTTTGTAAAGTTTTTGCTGGGATGGGCATTTAAAGAAATCTGAAATTCGCTTTTGCGCCATTATCTCCTTGTATTAAAGTTAATCTTGTTCGCATTCTGTACAGTTCATGTCTGATACCACGCGCTAGCGTCACGTGTTCATGAGGATTAGGCTAATCATCCCATATAGAAAACATCACAAGTAAAATGAATCATGTTTATAAAGATAAACATTGGTTTATTATGGCCCACTTACAATTTACATTTCAGAGATCATTACAAATAAATTATTAAATGCTAAAACTGAATACATTTAAATGAACAAACTTGGCGTTGCATTTGCAACCATGTGAAAACAGGGGGTGCTGCAGCCCCCTTAGCACCCCTACTTCCCACGTCCCTGCTCTCATGTATATTTTACAGCATTAGTTAAGAGATTTGTTTTCCTTTAGAACATTTTGCATGTGTACCAGTACCAGATATATATCCAAAATAACCGATAATGTATCGAATCGTGAAATTTGTGTCAAAACCCAGCCCTACTGTATTCCACTGTATACATTAGCTAATGTAAGAACAGCAAATCTTGTTTACACCACCAGAGTTGCTAGAAGGTATTTCTAATCCTGGTGGCTAGTAACAAATGTCATTACCAAACAAGTTTTATGTCAATAAAAAAAATGAAGCATTTTTTGAAAGAGTCCCATGTTCTCATGGTTTTGACTTTTTTGTCATAGTTATGATGTCTGTAAATTAAATTTCTTGTCTCTGATGATGTTTTATCTCATAATTATGAATACGCATCTCAACTTTTTATTTCATGACTATGATTTACCATAGATTTTGCATTTTAGTAGCATTGGAAAGTTGAACATGAACATGAACATCTTTTTGAACATGAAAGCGTTTAGGTAACATTGTTACTGCAAGTTGCTGGTGGTGTGAGTGGGGTTGGCAAATAAAAATCCTTCAGGTTTTAATTACTTTAAGAGTGAAATTTTGTCATGTTTCAGGTCAACTCCACACAGGTGGTGTCGGATTTAGAGGAGGAGTTTGACACGCTTTACTCCATCCTGGATGAGATGAAGGAGAGTATGACAAACACCATCAAACAGGAAACAGTCCGCAAATCACATGAGCTTCAGGTAACTTATCTCAAACAACTTTGGGAATGGCACATGTATTTGCACATAGTAAATCCCCAAACTAATGTAGAACCAATATAAGAAGTAATTCAAATAATATTTAAAATCGATTCCTCGTAAAAGGATAGTTCACCCAAAAATGAAAATTACTACATGAACGCCACTCTCTCGTGAATGTGCGTATGACAGTTAGCGGAAGCTAGAGATTACAGTTTATAAAGTTTTAAATATAGATAGATTTCCTACACAAATGCATTGATTCACTTCAGAAGGCCTTTATTAACCCCTGGAACCATGTAGAGTACTTTTTATGATGGATGGATGCACTTTTTTGGGCTTCAAAATCTCGACCACTATTCACTGGCATTATAAAGCTAGGAAGAGACAGGACATTTTTTAATATAACTCTGATTGTATTTGTCTGAAAGAAGAAAGTCATATACACCTAGGATGGCTAGAGGGTGAGTAAATCAGGGGGTAATTTTAATTTTTGGGTGAACTATCTCTTTAAATTGAAAGGTTTTTAATCATCGATTTATCCATGAATTTTTAGACTTTAATAGACATAACTGTATATTGGTAGAATACTGTTTCTGTTTATCATTTATTAATGGCAATTAGAGAATGGATTAATCTTATAATAACTTTGGATTTATATACATTTATAACAATCGTCATGTAAACGTATTATAATAGATGCCACATTTAGCTTCATCTTTATGTAGTTTGAACTAATTCCAGGTGATGTTGCTCTGTCACACCATTAGAAACCCTCCGAAAAATTTTTTATGTGAAGATCAGCATTAGTATTAGGAGGATCAACACTTTAGGATCTGTCCGAGTATCCCTAATTTAATAAACCATTTGCAATTTCATTGTACTGGCTGCACTTACACCTGCGCACCATTATCAGTTGCCTGCTCTCAGGAAAGATGTATTTGTAATTATTTTCAAGACTTGAGGAGCCTATATTAATCACAGTAATTAACGCATTGTTTTCCCCAGCCCTGTACTTATATGCTTATAAAATAGCACCAGCACTGCTCATATTTCAAGCAGGATCATAGACTTAGTTTTCGCATAACTTTGATTGCATGTGCATGCAGTCAGTGTTTTTGTTTTAGGTTTCTGGTAAGTGTGTGTGTAGTTGGCTTTGGTTGGGCTGGTGATGTCATGGTGCTGTAATGGCAGTATTGTGCCCAGCCCTCTAAGTCCACTGAACAGGAACAATACCAGAGAGAGAAATGAGCTCAGATAAGTGATTAGCCGTCAGCACCCTTCCCATCCTTAACCGCATAATAGTACGTAAACATGCCAGCTGCTGTTCATTACTGACAGCTGCAGGAACCTTTATAGGGTTCTTTTTAAGGTTTTTGTTATCTGTAGCTTCTGTGTGTCTTTTCTGTGTATCTAGTTCTTCAATTTATACATATGTTTTATCACTTTTTTGTCCACATGAATCAGTCTTATACACCACTGTCATAATATTTGTCATTGACAGTACACTTAGTATAGTTATTATCGTAATAGTTTTTTAAACCTATTTTAGAACATTAAATATTAGGGATGCACTGTTATAAAATGATAAAAACTGATTACCAGTGTGATGGCTGATATGGTTTGCTATTTATCTTTATTAAATTATTGTCATTACATACATTATTATTATTATCATTGTATTAGGTGTATATTGGCCCTCATGACAGCATCAACAAACAAAGATTTTAAAGGGGTCATGACATGGATTCGTTTTATTATTTTCATATGGTCCTTGAGGTTTACTTATAATGTTAATAAAGTTTTTGCACAAAAAAAGTGGAAAAAGTATTATTTTCAACCCTCATTCCGACCCTCTGTCTGAAATGACCTGTTTTTAAGGGGAGGGCCCTTGACGATAAGTTTACTTCACTATATTTCAATTAAATCCTAATGTAATCATGACAAACTATATATCATTGGAAAGGTCTAAGACTCCTAAATAGATATTTCACCATTTTTTTGTTACAAATTATGTAGGAACAGTAATAGATTAATTTATGACAAGAGTGCACCAAGAGTCATGACAAATCTACATCATAACAGGAGTTCTGACCTTAAAAAATCTTATTTCGTTGCCTTTTTCCCTGTCACATGTTTTAGTAATCATCATAAGTTATATACCATTTGAAATTCGTAAAATCTCAAAATTCATCCTGTGAAAACCATTTTAAAATCGGACATTGCGATACCATAGAAATGGTACTTCAAAATTGTAGGGGTCTCCTCCCCCTTACAAAATGTATTGCGGTCTTTTAGAATTAAAACTTTTTATAATCTTGACAAAATGCATATCGTCGGAAAGGTCCGAGTCTCAAGATTCCATATTTTATATGTGGTTATTTTGTGATAGACATTATATTGAGGGAGAAATTGATAGATTTGTGACAGAAATGCATCAAAAGTAAAATTCAGTGGAGTTTGGGTGGCAACCGGTGACCATTTTTTGTATAATGCCTAAATAAATTTGCATATGAACCTCAATATCTTTTTATATCAACTTCAAATTTGGAACACAACTTATGCAGACATATGGCTTTAATTTTATAGCAATTTTGTATTTTTAACTTTTTTTTTAACTATTTATTTTATATAAAATAAAATAAAAATAATACAATACATTTTCTTTACAGTAAATTTAAACTTCTATAACTTTTTAATACTTTCATTTTATTAAATGATTTCACTTCTGTAATAATCTGCTAATTGTTTTCTTTAAAAAGAGATCAACCTTAGGTCTGTATTCAAAAGGATTCATGAATTATAATAATTTAAGTTTGGATAGTGCACTTTCTCGTGAATTTTCAAAAATGGGCATGACAGTTAAAGGCACAATATGTAAGATTTTTTTATTAAAATATCCAAAAACCACTAGAACAGTGTTATATATTTTGCTGACTTGTGTACTTGCATTATCCCAAATGTTTCGAAGAATGTTTAAATCCAGAGAAATAAGCAATTTTAACTAGTGACACGGACCTTGTCTATAGTGTCATTGTGTTGCCTGCCAATTAGGGCTGTAGCTATCGATTATTTTAGTAATCGAGTATTCTGCAGATTATTCCATTGATTAATCGAGTAATCGGATAAGAAGTAATTTTTCTGTATTAAAGAGCAATACTATATATATATATATATATATATATATATATATATATATATATATAAATGCAAATACAAATATATAAATAAATAAAAATACAAAAATCTATTTCACATTACTTTAAAAAAGGTAAACAGTACAAACTAAGGCATAAATCAAAATAATAGTAATAGAAATAATAATAATACCTAAACATTGCATTTATGTTGTGCAACTTAACTTTCAAGTAACTAAAGCTCAAGCATGACATAAGACTTTACTGTCTTCTTGGAAGGCTTTGTGGCTTTTGTGAGAGGCAAAAATCAGTGGACAGGAAGGTAACTTGGAACAAGAACAAGAGACCATACACAATTTTTAAACACATTTTTCTGCAACATGAAATTAGAGTTATTTGGAGAATAAACCCTCTTAAATGTCCCTGTACGTACTGGTGTGTGTGTGTGTGTGTGTGTGTGTATGTAAAACTTTTTTTTTTGATATCCTTCATATCCTGTATGCAGGTCAGTTCACAGCAGTGATAGAAATTAATCTGTTCCAATATAGTTACAGTAAATGGACTAAAAGCCTCAAATTATTTGCCTCGATGATTTTTTATATTCGAGTTACTCGAGATCTTCGAGGAATCATTTTAGCCCTACTGCCAATGACGTCATAACCCCTCGATTTCCGGTTTTGTTTTGTAGAAAACATGGAAACACCAAAGACCACTCGAGAAACCACTCGTTTCGCTTCGACGGCTTTCAGCCTCACCCTGCTTCATTCTACTACGTTAATAAATCATTAGCTCATCCATGAACATGATTTCTGCCCGAGTCCCATCGGATTGCTTTGGCTGTGTGGATGAAGACGACAACTCCCATGATTCCACACTCAGTCACGGCATCATCAAACTACGCCTTTGTCTCTTTGTTTATTTTGAATATGCGCCCTCTAGCGGTGAAAATTACATATTGTGCCTTTAAGGGGTTAAGGCTTGTCAGGAATCAGCTCATGTTATGACTGGCTAACGTCATTGCATAGGAAACAGTATCAATGCCCTCTCGCTATTGCATGTGAGTGTAATTTCCAGACACAGCATTATGAAATCATTTACTTACGGTTTGCGATGCAGCTGCAGTCAGATCTAGTACCGCTTCATCTTTCTACAAATGTTTCTTTGTGAACTCTCCATGACACTGTTCCTCGTTTACAAAACAAAATGCTCCAATCAATCCTCTGAAACGATCCTGGATGGCATTAAAATAAACTATCCACTTGTTCGTTATGCTGGGAACCTTCTGATATCTGTACAAAGACGCGAACGAGCTGTTTAAACCAAATGCTTCAAAGTGAACGTTCTTTCACTCCATTTGCCCTATTGACAGACTCAAGCACGTGGAGTGTGTCAGAAAGCAAATGCGCATCTGTATACTGTATCCAGTGTAGACAAGATAGTGGCAGTGATTGTAATTTCTTTTTTGCTTATGAGGTGACGCGACACTCGCATTCAGCGTAATCAAGTATCAACCATTAAGTGACTGAACGCCAGTGGGCATTAGTGAGAAGATGCCTATTCGACTATTTGTCGATGCCTTGCTCTGGAGGCAGTGTTTATGCAAATGTTTGAGTCCGGGTGACTTCATCTTCCACTTCAGATCCAAAACGAGGCACTTTTGGAGCTTGATTAAATAAATGCTTTTTTTATAATAAGGAGGACGTTTTAAGCTATGAAACTTGCAGGATTTTTTAATGGTACAAAGACCTCTTATATGCCAAAAGATCAAGGCAAATGTGATTTCTCATGTCATGACCCCTTTAAATAAAGTATACATAGAAAGTATGCAAAATTATAACATTAAACCATTTTCTATAGTTACAATTACTGAAGCTGTCATTCAGGCTACTGTAGGTTTACATGTGAGCTCACTGACTTTCCATCCGAGTTATGCACCGTCACGAATACTCCCATTTTAATCAATTAATTGGCTTACACTGCACAGTAAATCTGTTACTTCCATTGTGTTCCCTTTTTAAAATAGGAGTTTTCATGAGAATGCAGTAGTGTGGGACGTTCAGGGAGCTTTGTCAGGGAACAAACCTCTGGTGTAGTGAGCAGATTTCTTCCAGTTCAGTGGATATTTAGGGTAAAGCTTTTTATAAGTTATGTCATGTTTCTCTTCAACTCATTTTTATTCACAAGTAAAAGTGAAATGTAAAGCAAAAATCTGTGGATCAGACCACTTAAACCTCACACTTGAAGGATTTCAGATAACAGCAACCTATATGCTGTTTTGACTCTGTTCACCGACAGCTGGATGACTCGTATCACAGCCGTGAAATTTATTTTGCTCAATAACAACAGTGACAGTTTCTGTGCACGGCAGATATGAGGGTCTTTAATCCAGGCTCAAGTGGTCACTGAAGATGCATTGGAGACAAATGCAATTGACAATGTGTTACAGCTGTTCACTTGTGATCAGATCACCCAAAGTAGATTCAGGTTTTAACAGGTCCTTAGTGGTCAGGATTTTTCAGTGAGTTACATTGATACAGTAAGTGGTATTTATAGGTGAGTCGTTGTATCACGCACTAAACTGATTTATTGAAAAACACAGATTAATTAATGGATTCAACAATTGACGGAGTGTGTGATTTGAATAATTCACTCAACTGATTTGTTCAGAAATATATATTCATTCAGGAACACAACCGCTGGGCTTTTTGGAGCATTTTTTGTTGGTGCAAAACTTGCTTTTTAAAAATATCTCTCTAGTTTTTATTAATTTTCATTCCAGTTGTAATTATTTTAGTATAGAAAAGCTTTGTATAGAAAAACGATTATACTCTCTGAATTAGAAAAAATAAGCCCAGATATATTCAGAGAACACAGATCATTTCAAAATCATTAATAATGATCATCCTTTATCTCTTCTCCAGAACCAGCAGACCCAAAGCACCAATGCATTAGAGAGTGCAGAGGAACTTTTGGAGTTTGCTAATAATGCGCTGCACATTACAGATGAGGGGGAATTCACAAAGGTAGACGTTTGATGTTTTTCACAAAGGATGCTTGCAACTTCATTTATTTAATTTATTAAAATGCTGGGTTTGTTGTCTTTTCAAATTTCCATTTAATTTTCTGTGGCTCATTTAAAAACTGCAAGCAAAGAATGCCAAGAATTAAACTAGAACTATACATACTAATCCTACTTATTGTCTGGAACTTGATTTTTCACCTAAGTAATGCTAATGCAAAAAAACTGAAGTCTATATTTCTATGATCTGTTAATTAAATGTGAATCTATTAAAAACTAATGTGTATATAAAAAAAACAATCTGTTAAACTGCTCATCAACCTGTGCTTTATATGTTTAAGATCCTGATTTACCTTCTGTGTGTGTGTTTCTGTTTGTGTATATCCAGTCGAATTGCATGCTTACACTTTACCTGCATGGCAATACTAACGACCTGCTCTTTTTTCCTCTCTTCCTCTTTATCTTCATCCTCAAGGCTGCCAAACAGATCAAAGATAGGTACAGTATGTGTTCCACTCTCTGTATGTGGTTGTGAGCACTGCATGACACATACATTCACATTGTTTGTTTTGCTCTGTTGATCAACCCGTGTGTGTGTGTTAGGGCTGGGTATCGATTCAGATGTCCCGATTCGATTCGATTCGCAAGCTTTCGATTCGATTCTCGATTTTTTTGATTACATTCAGTGAATCTAGTTTTAATACAAATGCCATTGATATTTCTAAAAAATGAACAGTAAACATCAGTTTACAAATGGTGAATTAATAAAAAGAAATTAAGCCACATGCCTGTATTTTAAATCTATACTTTTTTTTGTATGGGTCCTTTTTTTAAACAATAATAGGGCTCTATAAAATGTTCTTAATTTTTCTGGTAATCAGATGAAGGCATAAAACATTAATTTAATTTATCCTAATCAAATGAAAATTAAACCCTTTTATTTTTTGGCAAACAAGGTGCTGCACAACAGAGGTTTACTGTTAAAATAAAAAAGAAAACAGATGTGATTATTCCTTTAAAAATAAAGATTTATTAATATTTATTAGCAGTAGTAGCATTGATTCTTAAGACTGCTAAATAGTAATATATTCTGACAGT